CCTTCCTTTAAGGTCATTCTGCGAAGGAGGACCCAAAAGTTGGCAAGGGTCTAAAGCAGTTCTGAATGCACCTTCAGACTTTTAAATTCAATACTGCACATGCTTTTGGTCTAGGGGACTGTTGACGGAGGCGTCCACACTTTGCATCTGCAGGTGTGCACAGTGAAGTCTGTTGTCTGGTCTTATTCCCAGTGTTTATCTTTGCTCATCCAGTGCTTTCCACTGACACGGTCTCACTCCCACTGATTCATACAAATAGCAGCTCATACCTTAGCATCACAGCTAGTCCCAGCAGACAGGTCAAGGGTAGACTATTTTGGGAGGAGACCCCAGTAGAACAAACATGTTACATAATGTATACAAAACGTGTCCCTTGGGGTGGAGCATCTGCCTGGGTTCCATCAAGAAAAAGGAGTCATCGCAGTCATTACAGGTGTTTGAAGTCACACCAGGTTAACGCTGGAGTTAGAACACAGGTGTGCTAGAGAGGGAAGGTCTGGGAACTGAAGGGGCTCTGAGGAACCATCACCCTTGACTTGAGAAGAAAGCAGTGGAAAGCCCTGGCTCCCAGAGCCTTCTCACTGGCTGCCTTGGGCTTTGGAGAGGAGGGGAAGTCCACATATCTGCCCTTCTACCTGCATGGTCTCCATGAGAATGGTTATCATTTTGCTTTGTCTTAGACATCTCATTTAATTTCCCATCATTGAAGAATTTCTGAAAGTAGTCACTGGGTTTATAAGGGAGTATTTGTGGGACAAAATCAGCCAAAAAAAAAAAAAACCTAACACAGATGTGCTTGTCCCAACAAAAGAGGAAAGGCAAGTTAGGGACTGTCTGTCTTTCTTTCATTCATTCATGGATTATTGAATGACCTGCCATATGCCAGTACCTGGGGCTGCAATAGCTATCGTCTGAGCTGTGCCCTCCTTGAGATTTGTGTATTCAAGTCCTGCTTCCAAATGCTGAGATGGGATTTCTGGGAAGTGATTAAGTTAAGATGAAGTCAAAAGTGTGTTGACTGTGTGGAAGGATTCCTGCCCTTCTAAGAAGGGACAGTGCCGCAGTCTGGCTGGGCACAATTCAGGAACTACTTGTCAAAAGAAACAAACTTTATTTTTAGAACCACACATGCCAAACCACACAGCTCTTCAGGAAAACCCTCAGAGCCCAACTGCCACCACAGGCTTCCCACAAGCCTCTCAACCTCCCCCACTCCTCCTGCTCTTGAGGCCGATTGGCTGGGTCACATGGGCGGCGCCAATAAGTCCCCCAATGAGCAGCTCCATGGTCTGAAAGGGCAGGAAAACAGCCCAATGAGCATCACCATAGAGGAGCCAATCAGTTGGCAGCTAGAAGTTTGCTGGGGCCGCTGTGAGCCAATCATCAGCTGGCAGCTGGAAGTTAGCTGGCAGCTAGAAGTTTGCTGGGGCCGCTGTGAGCCAATCATCAGCTGGCAGCTGGAAGTTTGCTGGCAGCTAGAAGTTTGCTGGGGCCTCTTCTGCTGTGGCTCTCAACAGGACAGCTTGCTCTGTCTCTTTGTCCTCTGTGCTAGGAAGCAGCAGGAAGGCTGCCACCTGCAAACTAGGAAGAGGTGCTCACCAGAGCCTGACAATGCTGGCACCCAGGTCCTGGACTTCAGCCCCCAGAGCTGCAAGAAAGTACTTTCTGTTAAGTCACCTGGTCTGGGCTTTGCTGTGGCAGCTAATCAGGCTGAAAGGCAGAGAGCAAGGACTCCTGTGTGTGCTCACCACTCTCCACAGCCAGGTGTAGGTGGTGGCTGGGGCCTTCCCACTGGAGAGGGGGAGGGCTTAGGGTGGACCCAACTTCCCCAGGGAAACAGACTGCTGACGTTTTTATGGGTGGTCACTGTTCAGAAAGCCAGCTGAGGACTGCTCAGGGGCACACTGCTCTCTGATCTCAGGTAGATGGGGGCCTAGATGGGGTGAGATGATGGAGGAGAAGGAGGAGACACAACCACATAAGTCATTGTTTCTTTTTCCTTCCTATTTTTCCCCTGAAATTAGATTCTAGAGGCCTCAGTTTTTCCTGGACGCAGGGAAACTCCACAGCAGTGCTTGGGTAGGTGTGATAGTTAGAGACAATGTTCAGGTTCAGGGGCTATGTGTGGTGGGAGGGCCAGATGCCCAGCATCCCAAGGTTCTCCTTCTTTACACTGCCGCTCTTCAATGGCAGTTAGCTAGATGTGCTGGGACCGCTGGGACGGGGGCTCACATCAGTGAAGAGTACATGCTCAGTCTCGGCTCTGCGGTGCCTTGCCCCAGGTGACCCGCTCCTTCCAGGGTTAAAGTCATTAGGAGATGTAGGCATGCCCAGGGGTGCTACAGAAGGGACCTGAACATCCTTCTTCCATCAGGGGCTCCGTTTGCCTTGCCATTGTTACTGTCCCCCTCAGCCACCCTGGGTGTACAAGCCCTGTGTGCTCATAGGGGGCGCCTAAGGAATCCCCCATCCTTCAAGGTCCCTATTCGGTGTATCCAGGACACAAGGAATGGGGCAATAAATATTACAAAAGAAACCTGTGCTAAGTGAGAATGGCCAGAGATGGGAGTGCCACCATTTGCCATTGACTGGGTTGGTGAGACCAAACCACCAGCCACCTGAATTGTTTGCTCTGAGGCCAGTGAAATGAGAAGGGACATCCGGGGGTGCCAGGCAGCACTCCTCTCCTTTCTTCTATCTCATTTCTATTGCTGGGAGGAATCTTCCACTCAGAGCTGGAAATGAATATCATACTTGTGTAATAGAAGAAGCCAAGGGAGGAATGAGGCAGAGACATTTCAGGCTCAGAACAACAGCTCCGTTGATTGAGTTCAATGAGTCCAGCTTGGGCAGAAGGCTCATTGCCCTCGGGGATCCACAAGGCTCCTGCCTGTGGCACCAGGGGACATGAGCCATGGCCAAGCCAGAAGAGGACAGGTGGGCCACATGTCCTGGGCTCCGAAAGCTGTGTATTCTAATGTTTCAGGATTATTTGTGAATATCAACAGATTGAAATTCATAGACCTCTCCAACTCACAGATATTCTGGGATATTTCCAAATTCCCCAAGTTAATTTATGACTGAAGATAAAATTTCCATCACTTGCTCTGTGTGGTTGGAGAGGGAGTTAGCAGACCCACACACACGCTCCTAGGAGGCCTTCGGAGGACATTTACAGAGAATTACAAATACTTCTAGTGACGTTTCCCTCCACATCCTCAGCTGCATTTTGCTGGGCATCTGGACCAGCTGCCTCCCATCTGTCCAGCCACCAGTGAGTTGAACAGAAACCAGTATTTTGCCTGAGAGGGGCAAGGAGGGGAGCGCGTGCTGGTGGTTCAGTGAACTCACTTGTCATGAATCTCCAGTCACAAAAAGTGGAGACAGGGACTTTTAAATTTAAAAAATATATAAGGGTTGGGGATGTAGCATGCCTAGCACATCTGGGTTCAATCCTCAGCACCAGGAGAGAAAACAGAAGACAGATGGAATGGGACTCAGATCCAGGGAATTCCCTTCCTACAGGGGGTCCCCTTCTTCCTCTCCCTTGGGGTGCTCCAGCACAGCACTCTCTTCTACAATGTTCCACTAGTGCCCTGGAGTCTCTTCTTAGTTGAACTCTTTATCTAATAAAGGCTATTGGCTTGGGAAATATCATAAAGGTTCTTGTGGTTTACATGGCTAAAGAGAAAGGCCACGGGGGTTGACCTGGCTCTGCTCCTGCGGGCCGCACTCAGGCTGACCAATTCCTTCTCCCATGCTCAAATTATCTCTCATGTAATTTGGAGAGAACTAATACCCTGGTAAAGATAAATAACTAGAAGGTTGTCTTCACTCTTAAGGATTTTTTTTTTCCTTTTGAGTGTTTTGTTTTGAGGTTTGAAGTTCTTAACCCTCATGTTTAAGTGGGAGAAGTGCACTCAGTGGGGTCATCCACCACCACTGTCAGCTCAGGAGTGCTGGCGGCCTGGCCTCTGCCCACAGACTGGGAGGCTGATGATGAGAGGCCCTGCAGCACCTGGGAGGGCTCCCCACACACCCAGGCCCCGGCTCTGCTTTCCCACGGGGCTGTGATGTGAGCTGAGGTGGGTCTTGGCTACAGCATCACAGTCACCAGAATCACCTCCCTGTGTTCACCTGTCCTTCCTGCATCTGACCACTCCTGACACAGCCTAGAAATACCAGGGATGGAGGGAGTGGGTATCCCTTCCATGGGATGGGGCTTCATACCCACCCTGCTCTGTGCAGCGGGAGCCCAACCTGGAATTGGGAAAGAAGCTAGTGGCTTCAAACTCACCTGCCCCTGGACAGAAGCCAATGGCCAATCTTTGGGTTTCCCACATGCTGTTCTCAGACCCATCCCCTGCTCCTCTGCTCTCGCTCAGGTGAAAGGGCTGGTTCTCGCTGACTCTGTTTCCCAGGCTTCCTTCCCCATGCTGGAGAGGTGTCAGGGACATCAGTGGAAAGTGGGAAGATGTGAGGGAAGAATCCACAGCATTTCTCTTCACCTTCTCCTTCTCCTTTGGTGATTATTTCCATCTTAGGGACCTGAGTATCCTAAATTTTATGTAAGGGACATGAGCATCCTAAATCTTAGCGTCCCCAGGGACACTAGTACCAATCCCTCCTGAACACCAGGGCCAAGGTGCTGCTCACCACGAGCTCAGGCTCTCCAGCAGGCTTTGGTCCTCCAGCTGCCCCAGCTGTTGCCTCCACCACTGCACCTCTCATGGGCACCCATGCTAGTTTGGACTTACTGTGCACACCCTCTGCTGTTATTTTCTTTTCTTTCTTTCTTTTCTTTTCTTTTTTTTTTTTTTTTTCTTTTCTTTTCTTTTTTTTTTTTTGGTAATTGCACCTTCCTTTACATTTTTAAGTTTACATAGAAAATGTGTACAGCTTGAATTTCGCAAATTCTGCACATTCCTATAAAAATGCACAACACTACCAGGGCTCAAAGTGACCCACTGATGTCCCCTTTTGCTCACGTTTGTTTCCAGATCTGCTATACACAGATGGGGTTATAAGGACACAAGCTTCTTCCAGAAGTAACAGGCAACCCAATGGGAAAATGAGCCAATGACTTAATGGCCTCCTCACCAAAGTGGGTAAGTGACCAAGAACACAAGGGTGACTCTCAGCTGTCCTCAAGAAAATGCAAAGCAATACCCCTGAAAATGATGGAATGGGGAATACAGGCACATGGGAAGGGATGGCCAGGACATAGAGCTGCAGGATCCTTGCATCCATGATGGAGAGTGAAAGGGAACAGCCCCCTTGACGCTGGAGACATCCATTGGTGTCATGCATGTGTGCACCTCATGGCTCTACAACTGCAACTCTACCCATAAGTGCACATGCACCCCAAAGTGCACAAATGCTCCCTAAGAGAATTCTGGGTAACCCACCCCAGCCAGGGCATGCTTGCCTTTCCCTAATAGGAAGCATCAAAGGCCCATCAACTATAGAAGAAGTGAATCACCTGTGTTGTTCACTGAGGGGAATTCTGCACAGCAAGGAGAATGACTGAAGGGGACACTATGAGTATGAATTGCCAAACATATTGCATAAAGGAAAGTGAGTACAAAGGGAAACGTGGCATTATGTGAGTGTGTAGTTCATGTACAAACTTGTATGTCTTGTGGAAATATAAATATAACCAGTTGACCTGGAAAAGATCACCCCTCTCCAAATATGCAATGAGCGTAAACAATGTTACCAAGTTCTAGTTCTATGCAGTTAGTCTAGCCAAATCTGGCATTTGGTTGCCAGAGAGTGTTGTTACAGAGGTGCTAAGGAGGTATCAGCTTCAAACTGAGACTGTAGTTAATATAATAAGAAGAATGAAAAGGTAATTGGGTGTCAAATTTACTATGATTCCTTTTTTAAGTCTTGAATTGTGACAGAATATAAAATAGTCTCCCTCTCCACAGTACTGTGAGCCTTGAGCCTCATAGAGCAGAGTCTTGGGGACACTTTGTCCTCACTCTTGTTTCCCAGGGGAACCTGGTTCTCCCTCAGATGAGGGCAAATGTCCCTGACAACACAATGGAATCTTTGCCAAGAGCCCAGATGTGATCTTTGACCACAACATGACCCTCCTATAAAACATTAAAATATTATTTCTGAGAACACAAGTTAGTTGGCTTTTGGGGAGCAGATATCATTAAGTCTTGCCTTTGCATAACCTGAACATATACAGTATGTGCATGATGCAGCTTTAACTTAGATACACTTCCCTCTGGACATTTAATTTTCCCATAAACTCTTTCCTAACCAAAGAGTTCTCTGGAAGGAAGGCCAATGTTGGGGGCTGGGGAGGGGCTACCTGTGGTTCACATGGCATGGCCACAGGTCCTCAGTGTCTTGCATGGGACCCAGGTACAGTTAGAACTGCAACTCTCATTTATTTGTGCAGCTTCTCTGACTTGTTAGATTTTTTTAAAAATGCCTCATCCTTATTATGAGATGAAAAATAAATGACATTAGTCAGACTCCTGCCCTTTCTTTTTCAGCCTCTGCTGCATCTCTTTCCTTTCATGAATCGCTTTTCCCACGTTTGAACCCCTAGGGTAAGTTCTGGGAAACTTAATAATTTTAATCCAAGGTCATTTATGAAAACGAAGCTTTTCTGTCTCCCGTGTCAGGCAGCAGGAGTTTCCATCGCGGCTCCTTAGCTTGTGCAGGAGCTCGGTGGGGTGGGGGCGGCTCCTGCTGGGGTGCCCTTTGTGTGTTGTGCTGAAATTTAATAACAGGATGAGGAAGAGAGGAGTGTCATATTCAGCTTAAGTAACTGAGTGGAGAGGAGAGTAGCCCTCATTTGAATAAAGCATGTGGTGAACACATCTATTTGTTTGGGAAGCTGCTCATCACTCAGTTATCAAACTCCCACCCTGGACAAACAGCTCCACTGTTTAAAATCTGACCACCTACAGGGCTTCCAGCATGGTAGGCCATCGGCTGATTATAGGAGGCCAAATAAATTGGTAAATAAAAGAAAAAGCTATACTAAAGGAACAAAGTTGATGTGCCACAGAGGTGGCACTAAGCAGGTGACAGTGTGGGCTCCCTGTGGTTCAGTGGCCAGTTCTCTATTTGTAAACTGAGGGTTGTGATAGTTTTTACTATTATCCAATCCTACTTTTTAGTGCCTTAATGTAAAGTAGGTAGTTAGACGTGAACAGGGGAACAGACGGAGAAAAACATCAGGCTCATTTCATCTTGAGTGACGAAGATCACTTCACCTCAGGTGGCAAGAAAGACCCACCATAAAACCACCTCCTTCACAGATGGATATAAAACCGAAAAGGATGAGATTGGTCAAGTCCTGTGAAAATTAGAGCATCATTGCATCCTGAGTCCCACTAGTATGTGTGATTATAATGCAGGGACCGTCCACCATCATCTACCTGGAGCTGAGATGCTGTGGCTTTCTTGTGGTCTCATTTCTTGGGGTAGGGTTAAGAGGAAGGTTAGACCTTTTTTGAGAATTATGCTTTTATCCAAAGTGGGGAAGCCAAAGATAGGCTGAGAGAGCCAGGTATTTCTACAGGAATGGGAAAGCCTAAACTTGTTTTGGAAAGTATTTAAACTATAAATAAAAGTATGGG